TTCGTCATGTGCGGTCGGGTCGGCAGGCATTGGTTTTCTTTTTTCAATGAGTCGTTGTTGTCGTGGACAATGCTTGATGTCCTGATTGATCCCTGGATTACGTCATTGGATAACTTTTTGGTGGGATCTTGATTCTGCAGCAGGAGTTCGTCACGTGCGGTCGGGTCGGCAGGCGTTGTTTTTTTTTTATTTTGACGAGTCTTCGTTTTTGTGGACAATGCTGGACGCAGTGAGCTTGTTCGGCTGAAATCGGCAGTATGGGGTCGAAGTGAATAGCCGATCGTTGTTCGGCTCGGTTATTCACTCGGCTGCCGTCGGCTACTTAGTGAATAACCCCCTTTTATTTTTTCCTAAAAATATCAATTTGATAAACGTTTGTACACATATCATGCAATAAAAAAAATGCAGCTACCATTTTTTTATTCCACAGGGCCTCCCCTTTCAGAAAATCTATAATTGTTTGGGAGGGTAGGGGGGTTAGACACTTTCTAGCCACAAATACAGATTTTAGGATGTGTGTACAAAAATGTTAAAAATTATTCTGGTCCTAAGGTGATTAATTAGTTTTAGCACCAGTAAGCCCGTCCTATTTTCATTCCTACTGCAGTAATGACTGATGTGATCTGATAGGTCCAGCAGACCCGTCAATCAGAAGGGTGGCGGCGGGTCCAAGGCTCTGAAGCAAGCTTTTAACCCCATAATGGGATTCTTCATGTTGAGCGTTGGCACTCGCAACACCACGCATAGGCTTAGGATTGGGGGCTTACAGTACCGCGTCTCTGCTGTGGGAATTCTGTTACAGTTCGAGAAGATATGTATGATTAACAAAACTCTCTCCCCTGGGGCCCGTTCTATCCCAAGTCAAAACACATCATCTACTGAGTTACCAGTATTTTTTTTTTTTGTTCCTGATGGAGAATTCCAAAATTCCTATTGTGCAGAGTTACAAAAACATCTAAGGGCATTTCCAGAACACAAGTTATTTCCATTTCTTTTATCTGGCTTGCAGCCAAAGCATTTCAGGCAATCGTAGATCTAGGGATGTTGTGTACCAAATATTTACAGTTATTCAGTACTGTGTCCCCTCTGATTTACTGCAGAGGAAAGCAGATTAATGCTGCCACTTTCATTCCTGAGATATTGAAGTAAGATTTCGGGCAAAGTCCTGGTTATTCCAAAATTGATGATAATATTTTAAATGCAGAAATCCAGCCTAAAAAATATGAGTTAAAAACACGAGCAGTCTGTTGAAAGATGAAATAAAACCACCTTTTGCTGCAGTATTCAGCTTCAGTCCAGAAATTTGCTCTGCAGTACTTATTGTCTACCACTAGATGTCCTCAGTCAGCATTATTCAACCCACTTCCTCTGAAACCTGGACCCACCACTCTGCTCTCTCCTCTTGTCAGTACATGATCTGATTGGCTTATTGTGCTGCTCCTTCCTCTTTCACTACAGCTCAGCTGTACAGGGACTGCAATAGGCTGATACCAGGACAAATGTATTACCTTGCACTGCTTGCATTTAACAAAATACTGTACATTTGGTTTGACTGCAGTACTTGTTTGCTACCACTAGATGTCCTTAGTCAGCTTCATTCAACCTTGTGCTGCTTCTTCCTCTCACACTCCAGCTCTGCTGTACATGGACTTAAGAGGCCGATATCAGAATAAATATATATATATATATATATTTAATGATGTATTAGAAATTGCAGAGCTGCATTCTTTTTTGCTTTTGCTGTTTGCACAGGTCACTGTGTCGCTCTGATGAGGGATCCCTGCGAGGATTTGAAACGTTAGCACTATATGACATTATGTGACATCCTTCATTGAATAAATAGATCAATGTAATATTGATACTTGACTTTCCCAGTGTGTGCCGGTGAAATTCATGAACTTGAAACATAGGAGTGTCAAGTCCGGGTGTATAAGCACCCACAGAGATTACACATTTAAGAGAATGGGCATGCATTTCAAAGAATCTTTAGTGTTTCCCTTCATGATCCTTTCCAAGCATCTGAAACATAGGGTCATGCCAGGGTATATAAGCACCTACATAGATGACACATTTAAGAGAATGGGCACACATTTAAGAGACACGCCCCCCCCCTTGTGCCCAGTCTCACATTGTCCTCTTTTATATATGTGCATACCATGTCTCTTTAGTGTTTTCCTTCATGATCCTTTCCAACCGTCTGAAACATAGGGATGTCAAGCCGGGGTGTATAAGCACCCACAGAGATGACACATTTAAGGGAATGTGCACATATATAAGAGACCCACATTGTGCCCAGTCTCATATTTTCCTCTTTTATATACAGTATTTACATATTATGTCTCTTTAGTGTTTCCCTTCATGATCCTTTCCAAGCATCTGAAACATAGGGTCATGCCAGGGTATATAAGCACCTACATAGATGACACATTTAAGAGAATGGGCACACATTTAAGAGACACGCCACCCCCCTTGTGCCCAGTCTCACATTGTCCACCTCTATTTGTACATAAAGCGGGGATTTATTAAAACTGGAGCAGACAGAATCTGGAGCATCTGCCCATATCAACCAATCATCTTCTATCTTTCATTCTCAAAAATTATTGGTTACACGGGCGTCACTGTGTCACTCTGATGAAGGATCCCTGCGAGGATCCGAAACGTTAGCACTATATGACATTATGTGACATCCTTCATTGAATAAATAGATCAATGTAATATTGATACATGACTTTCCCAGTGTGAAATTGCCTGTGAAATTCTTGATCTTAATGTTAGTGCTTGCGCGGCGCCATCCGTGTGGTCACCTTGAGCACCACAGATACCCTTTTTTGAACTGTAAGACCGCAGGAGTGCGAATGGTATTTGGAACATACTCCTATGTTTCAGACACTTGAAAAAGATCATGAAGGGAAACACAAGAGACATTAATATGTACATATATAAAAGAGGACAATATGAGACTGGGCACTAGGGGGGTCTTTAAAATGTGTGCCAATCCTTGAAGGAGAACCTATGGGGTTAGGGCTTTTCCCCATAGTTCTCCTAAACTAGCGTCCTCCCGTCACCCAAAGCTCAGTATACCGCGAGCTGCAGCTTGCGGTATACTGAGACGTCGTAGCCGGAACGGATCCCGACAATTCTGTCTGGATCCGCCCAGCTGCGTGAGTGACGGCTGACTCTGCCTATCTAGAGGCAGAGCCAGCTGTACCCGCCCCCTCCCCCGTCCGTTCCGCCAGTCAGCGCTAGGGTGGTCACCTGTCCCGGATTCAACTGGACAGTCCGGGTTTTGAGTCTTGTATGTGCTATGTCTGGGTTTTAGGCCAGCTGAAACCCAGACACAGCACATACCGGACTTAAAACCCGGACTGTCCAGCTGAACCTGGGACAGGTGGCAACCCTAGTCGGCACTGGAGGATCGGACAGGGGAGGGGGGAGACCCTGCAGGGAGCCGTAAGTGACAGTCACGGCTCTCTGCAGGGATAGATCGAGAAGTGAGCGAGCGCCGGCATGTGTTCGCTCACTTCCCGATCTACTGAGCCGACCTGTGACAGTTTCATTGTCACAGGTCGTCTCAGATTATGAGGCTGAGTGAAAATCACTCGCCTCATAATTCTCCTTTAAAATAAATCTAAACCCAATCACAATAATTTGATACAAACTTTAACATGTTAATGTAATTTCAAAAGTCAGTTCTGCCATTAAGTTCCTTGCCAGATAGCAAGGATAACTTGCTACAAACTTGTGCCAGGGTGAAATTGTAATTCTTGTTAACTTGCTGCACATATTCCTGGCAGGTTGTAGACTTGCAGAACACTTGTAGCACAAGTTCTAGTTGACACTTTTTGAATTTGTAGCAGATTTGCGTGGCAAGTCTACAGCAAGAGTCCTGCAGGTCTTAGCAAGAGCTCTGCAAGCTCGCTGGTCTGGAGACTTGCAATGCAGACTTGCTGTAATTGTGCAACAAAATTGTGAATCTTGGCGAGTCTGTAAAAGTTTAGCAAGTCATTTTCAAACTTGCAGCTCAATTGCTTGCTATCTGGGTTGTTCAGGCACTTCCTGTTGTAGGATGACAACTTTGCTGTCAACCTGTCACGTGATCTTCTGGTGGAGACTACTTGGGGCCGTTCTGACACGTATTACTTAGGCATCGCCCATCATTCTTATTATTAGGAAGCCGGTCCAAAGCAATATGCCGCTGATGCTTGAGTGAGTGCATGGAGACAGGAAGTGGCTGAATGTGGCTGGAGGAGATCAGCAGCACTGAGATGCAAAAAGAGAGAATAAAACCGAAAGTCTTTTTACTAATTTGGTTTTGATTTATTATCCATGGTAATTATCTGTGATAAACTCAGAGTCATCTACAGTACTTTCAAGTCATAATTGTGCTGTCATGATAGTCTGCCAGCTAAGATTACAGTCTTTTAGCTTATTGATTGTGTGGGTGGCAGGACAAGGCGACTGTTTGGTCTCCATCTCATGGTTAGCGAGCAGAACATATAATTATTGTTATTTATAATATAATAAAGAGATCTTCAAAATGAAAATTGATTCTCCTTCAGCTGGCCACTTCAGAGACCCAATGAGGCAGAAGTTGGACATGGATGCGGACGTACTGACACCTAGTGGTGATCTGTTGCACATTTTGCTCTCCAAAAGCTCCTTATTTACGCAGTCAAATGTGAAATTTAACTGAAAGCGGCTTCATATTGATGTTGCACATGCTGAAAGATCTAATCAGGCTTGCAGTGGGAGCAATGATCATTATCAGTCTGGATAGCAGACAGTAGTGGGGCGATTGCACAGACCCTGCAGGCTCTTTAAAGGGTAGGCACCCGCCTGCAAAGCGCAACGTGCAAGGTGGTTCTGTTATGTGCTGAGACTGAGTATTAACAACTCTGTCCAGAACTGGGAGACAATGTCAATTATAACTGCACTTTGCTTTGTTCAATCTTTGCTTTTATTACATGAGGTGTGACTGTCTTCATTTTTCTGTGTTGCAGGAACGGCATCCGTGGCGGTAGCTGGGATTTTGGCTGCTCTCAGGATCACAAACAATAGACTTTCTGACCACAAGTTTGTCTTCCAAGGTGCTGGTGAGGTAAGGACGGTGACCAGGGGTGTCAATAGCCTTTTCACTGCCTGAGGCGGCCGGGGGGGTTGATGCCTTGCTGGTGGTGCACTCTATAAGGGGAGGGTGGGGGGCTGAGGTGCCTGGGTTCTGTAGGCAGGGGTGTGGCCTCTGCATCATCTGGAAACCAGGGGCATCACTGGCTGCAAGGAGCTGAGCGGGACGCCGGCCAGAGCATCCTAGGTTGCTAAGATCTGTGTATGGCTCTTACACACCTCCCCACCCGGCTCTTAGCAACCTGGGATGCTTTGGCTGGAAAGGTGGCACATTGTGCAACAGAGCGGTCATGCTGCTCTGCCTGCTGCCTTCGCGTGACCCAAAGTGATGACGCCTGAGGCAAGAGCCTCAGGCAGCCTCATTATAAGGATGGCCCTGACAGTGACTGGCTGCTCCACCTCTTACTGCCTGTTCAACCTGCTTCTTGCAAACAGCACACGAACCTGCAGATTATGGATTGCTTTGGAAGAAAAGGATCCCTTAGCCTGGTGAATAGGATTCAGGTTCTTCCAAGTCGAGCTGACCACACAAAGAGGGTGCTGCTCCATCTTAAAGTATATTTTGTCCCTTTTGCAGTCAAATTTGAGAACCCCCCTCTGTATGTTTATGTATTCCCATTCACACAGCATACCTTAAAATATTTTTTTTTTTTAAAGAATGGATTTGCGATAACAAGCAGAGTGCTCTCCCTGAACCCATTGGATGAACTGCTCTATTGGCTTTGATACAGACTCTCCCTCACCCTGTCATGAGGCCTCCACTTAGGGTTGCCACCTGTCCAGGATTCACCCGGACAGTCCGGGTTTTGAATACTGTGTCCGGGTTTAATGGCAGCAGAAACCCGGACACAAGATGTCAGGCAGACAGGGGCAACCAAAAATAAGATAGGGGCCCCCCCCACTGAAAATAGTCTCAACTGTGATACTTACATATGAATGGGTGTCACTATTTACATATGAATAAGCCATGACTCATTCTCCCCAAAAATTGTCAGCGCGTCGCTAGAGTGTTCAGGTTTCGCTTGAAGAAAAGGTGGCAACCCAAAATGGCTACAGACTGGTGTTTGTGATCAGGAAGCTTGTACAAATCAATGACAAGCTAACACTGTGCATGGCTGTCCTCATGAATTCACACATAGAGCAATTACCTGCAGTTAGGGACAGATGTGTGTCAACCTTTTGTGTCCATGGCTGCTCATCTGTTCCTAACTGTAGGCAGTCGCTCCAAGTTTGATTTATATGTGAACACCTGCGGAGCCTGTCATTGATTTGTACAGGCTGAGTGGCCGCAGATAATTGCAAACTCCTGCCGTACGAGGCGTGAAAATGTGCATATCTGGGCGGTGGACTGCTGCGTAAATGAGGCCTGAAACTAGGGTTGCCACCTGTCCAAAATTCACCCCGACAGTCCGGGTTTTGAATGCTGTGTCCTGGTTTCAGCTGCCATGAAACCCAGACACCTCATTCAAAAGATGTTAGGCAGACAGGGGCAACCAAAATTAAAATAGGGGCTACTGGCCCCCACTGAAAATAGTCTTGACTGTGATATTTACATATTAATGGGTGGCGCTATTTACATAAGAATAAACCGTGACTTTAAAAAATATCCATGCTTTGCTAGAGTGTCCGGTTTTCACTGGAAGAAAAGGTGGCAACCCTACCTCCACTCCATTTCAGGGACCACCACTGTGCCACCTCACTCTACCATGCTTCCTCTGCTGTCTGTCCAATCATCAAGTGGATACATATGAATTATACTTTACAAGCCAGCTGATGGCCACTCCACCTTGACTAACACACTGCTGCAGAATCACAAAGGAGCCCATCTCAGAGTAAATGTATCAGCATGGAGGGTTTTCCCAACTTTGACCTGTAGAGCGGAGAAGTGAATATTTGAGAGTGTAAAGGTTATATGGTACAGGAGTGATAGGAGCCCGTAGCCCTGCTCAAAGACATTGTAAAAGCCTTATCAATCTGATTGCAAGGGATTATGTTAGGGCTCCAACCAACTAATCGACAATAAAGTGTAAACAAAACACTGTTTTGAAAAAGTTGTCTGTTTGGAATCCCAGATTCTGGATCTAAGCAACAAACTGGCAACACTGCGGAGCATAAACAACATGGAAAAGAGTCTGGACTTAACGCACCAGGCTGATGGGATAATAATAAAAATTAGTGTCCATAGAGATATCAATACAGAATATAAAAATACATAAATACATGCATATACACACACACACACACACACACACACACTGTATGTAATATATATATACACACATACTATATTGCCAAAAGTATTGGGGCACCCCTCGAAATCATTCGATTCAGGTGTTCTGTAAAATTTCCCTGCTACTAAATATTCCGCGGTCACCTGTTAGTGTTATTATAACAAATTGGAAGCAACTGGGAACAACAGCAACTCAGCCACAAAGTGGTAGGCCATGTAAAATGGTAGAGCGTGGTCAGCGCATTCTGAAGTGCGCAGAAGTCGCCAGCTGTCTGCAGAGACCATACCTACAGACCTCCAAACTTTGTGTGGCCTTCAGATTGGCACAACAACAGTGCGTAGAGAACTTCATGGAATGGGTTTCTATGGCCGAGCAGCTGCATCCAAGCCTTACATCACCAGTGGTGTAAAGCACGCCGCCACTGGACTCTAGAGAAGAGGAGATGTGTTCTCTGGAGTGACGAATCACGCTTCTCTGTCTGGCAATCCGATGGACGTGTCTGGGTTTGACGGTTGCCAGGAGAACGGTACTTGCCTGACTGCATTGTGCCAAGTGTAAAGTTTGGTGGAGGGGGGATTATGGTGTGGGGTTGTTTTTCAGGGGTTGGGCTTGGCCCCTTAGTTCTAGTGAAAGCAACTCTTAAGGCATCAGCATACCAAGACATTTTGGACAATTTCATGCTCCCAACTTTGTGGGAACAGTATGGGCATGGCCCTTCCTGTTCCAACATGACTGCGCACCACTGCACAAAGCAAGGTCCATAAAGACATGGATGAGAGAGTTTGGGGTGGAGGAACTTAACTGGCCTGCACAGAGTCCTGACCTCAACCCGATAGAACACCTTTGGGATGAATTAGAGTGGAGACTGCGAGCCCGGCCTCCTCGTCCAACATCAGTATCTGACCTCACAAATGGTCCAACATTCCCATAGACACACTCCTAAACCTTGTGGACGCCTTCCCAGAAGAGTTGAAGCTGTTATAGAGGCAAAGGTGGGGCCAACCCAATAGTGAACCCAACGAACTAAGACTGGGATGCCATTAAAGTTCATGTGCACCTCATTTTAAAACCAACTGAAAGTCAAAAGCATTAGTAAATGATCACATAAAATAGACTAATGTGTGTAACAGAGGATTAATTGGGATCAAATTGAGAATGAGGGTGCCAAACCATAAAACTACTAATAATCACATCAACCATACAAAAAGCTCTATTTACAAATAAACATGAATAACGAAATGAAAGCTATTATATGTCAGAGCATTATAGCCATGCAAATAAGATGCCCATAAACCAATATTGTAGAATACTCAGGACAGTGTTTCACCAACATAAATAAACACTGTACTCGGAGAGCAACAATGAAGACCTGGATGGATTGCATTGGTGGACCTGGTCACCCCTGGCAGCCCCACTGTCTATGTTAGCTGTCCCAGCCCGGCCCACAGGTTCAACTTGAAGGCTGGAGTTTCTTTTTAACGTTTCTTGTTTTTAGAAAAAGATATCTTCGTCTGCACGTAACATCAGGTTGGATCTGTCACAATTTTGTTCCCAAATTCCAGGCTTCACTGAGCCCAATATGGTCAGATTTTAAAAATATCTTTTCAGTTGCTTCGAGACATTCATCAATTAGGCAGACGGTACAGTTCTGCTCATATTAGGAGATTTCCAAAAACAAAATAATATTTTGTTTCATATTCCTGCAGTCCCGGTTATTTATAGTGTATAAAAAAAATGGATCAATGTAGGAACTGAAAGTCTGTAGGTCTATGTCTGCACAGTCTGTGCCGTCTCTGATGATGCAATGGGAATAGGAGGCTGTTTTGTCGGAGCTTTATGTGTTCAAAAGTGAAGGTGTTGACTTTGATCCCTTTTCCTTTCTGCTTTAAAGGAACCAAGCCCCAATCAGAACATTTAAAGGACCATTTGTCACAAAACATAATTTCCTTGATAAGTTGACTCTTGGAACCATGTAATATTTGTTAGTGGATTCAGCAATGGTCATTTTCTATAGCTATTGGCATGGAGCCACCTTGCATTGCCCAAGGAATGGATATTTTTCCATCTGACTCATCTGGCCATATCCCCCCTATGGAGGTGGATATAAACTTCCTGATTTTTCTAATCCTAATTTTTATCCCATTAGGGATATAAACTGTTGAGTAGATGATCACCTGGTGAATATACACTGATCAGCCATCACATTATAACCTCCTGCCTAATATTGAGTAGGTCCCCCTTGTGTCACCAAAACAGCCCTGACCCATCAAGGAATGGACTCCACTAGACCTCTGAAGGTATGTTGTGGTATCTGGCCCCAAGCCATCAGCAGCAGATGCTTTACGTCCTGTAAATTGCGAGGTGGAGCCTCCATGGATCTGACTTATTTTTCTAGCACATGGCACAGAGTCTCAATTGGATTGAGATCTGGAGAATTTGGAGGCCAAGTCAACATCTCAAACTCGTTGTTGTGTTGCTTAACCTCTTGCCGTCCGCCCGTAGTAAAAAAACGGACGGACGGCACTGCTGCACTTCAACGATTTTTAAGGTGTTTTTGGCGGTGGACACAGGTTAGCATGGACACCCTGACCGGCCTGCAGCTATGCAGCCCCATATGCAGCAAACTGTGATGCACACTGTGGGCAGACACCTTTCTATCAGAACCAGCATTAACGTTTTCGGGAATTTAAGCTACAGTAACTCTTCTATTGGATCGGACTACACGGGCCAGCCTTCGCTCCCC